TTAATTTAATTAATGTTTGTATCCACTGATGAAGATTGAACTCTCAATCGAAACGTTTGGAATATAATAAAAATAAAGTTGGTACGAAGAAAAAGTACTTATTCAAAAATTCAAAAATTCAAAAATATAGATACATTATAACTGTTACTTGAAATAATGCAATTTAACGCATTAATCAAAGTGACACTTGAATTAATTTTGTCATTATTAAAACTTTTTAAGGGTTATCTTACATATTTTGATAGAGAAAACAGAACTCGACACATAACTGAAACATCCTGTAGTCAGTCATTAGGAGAATAGAAATAAGGAGCGAAACTATTTTTTTTTTTGTCGAAATACCATAAAAGTTTTAACACATTTTTTTTTTCTTTTATTAATGGAAAAGGTAGATTTGGCGTATTTTGCGAGAGCACATATGACAAAAGGAAAAAAGAGGGAAAAAGCGCTTATTTTCAAATTTTTTTTCTTGTTACATTACAAAAAAAGTAGGAATTGAAAAGAGAAAATGAAGATCGATTTTGTTCTTTACTTAAGACGTCACGTACAAGATTTTTCCTTTTGATGTTACTTTATCGTTATAAAAAAGTAATATCGTACCATCTGCTACTGTCTCGATTTTAAAAAGAAAAAAAAATTATGCAGAGGACGTTATAAATAAGAGGATATAAATTTTTATTTTAATACAGTTCAGATATTGTATAATTAACATTTGAACTCTCTTATTATACTACGATTAAGTTGTAAAATAGGAACGGATGTAAAATTCTGTTTATACGAAAAGCAATAGATGATTTATTGGACTTTGAAAACACATGTTTTTTTTGTGATAATAACCGGCTGTTTATTACATTTCTTTTGTTTTTCATCTAGTAAATGGAAACGAGAATGTAAAACAGAGATCAGATCAACTATAAAGGAGAGAAATAACCTAATTTTATTATTTATTCGTTCCTAATATATGTTAAAATTGGATAAGTAGCCATTGAAGAAAATATTTTCTTTTTTCAACCAATAGAGCCATTCTCATACATAATCAGCCCATATTATAGTTTCATTTATCAACTTAACAATCCTCCTCCGCATCTTTTCATTTAGTGAATAATGGTATGAATCACCATCTATCTCATGATAGAAACCTACATTCATCTTATCAGTACAGTTAAACATTCTACATATATATAACATGTTAATTTTTAACGTTTACCTCATGTTTCATTCTAGACTTATTAGTTAGATAAAATTCGATGTCAAAAAGAAAAATCCATCAACTTCAAACCGGAACAGTTATCAATACGACTAAGCAAACAAGCAAATAACTGGTTACATAAAAATGTCATCTTTATTTAGAAAATGTCTACCGTGTCGTCGTAAATCTGGAAAAGCAAATATCGGTGATAATGTAGAAAATAATAATAATAATCAAATATATCGAAAGGAATCTTATGAACCCGTACAAAAGAGTGTATTATATACCACAAATCAAAAAACACCTTTAACAAATAGAGCGAGAGGTATTGAAATAATTAATATGGATACAACAAGTGAGACAAACATAGTGAAAACTGATAACAAATGAAATTTTTACTCCTTTTCATAATGACAAGATTAGAATAATATGGAAATCGTATATAAACATTAAACAACTGACAATTGTCTATTAAACAAAACGTTTACATTATTATCGTAATATGCAGTATTTTTCGATATATAAAAAATATTAGTTTTGTTACTGTTGTTATAAACATTAATTTTTTTTTTGTTGTTTCTACTAAAACGCAGAGTTTCTTGAATCCTTTCAAGAAAAATTTTTTACTCTATACATAGTTTGATTCTATTTACTATTATTTTTCAATTCAAGTTCAAACGATCAAAATTTTCTTCTCAAACATAACATTCAAGATAAATCACACAATTATATCTTTGTGATTAATATAATTTGAGAGGAATATATTTCATACACTTACGGTTCTATATCGACACGGATCTTGAAATAACATTTTTGCAATTAATTTTTTCAGATGCGTCACTGTTGCATTACTCGAACATATAATATATTTTCGTGGTAAAGACTAAAATAATAAATGATTATTTAACAGAAATCAATTGAATAAAAATTGAAAAAACTTACATCTAATTGTTTATTTTTTGCATCAAGACAAATAGCTACTTGATCATCATAAATATGTAAATCAGAATTGGCAGGTACAACTAATTGTTGTTGTTCTTCTTCACATTTTTTTTCTTGTAATTTTTCTAAATTTTAAAAGACATAATAAATCATGTTTCAATTTTGATCATGATAAATAATTCTTACCAACTAATGATTGAGGAAATGGTAGATCCCTTTCTTTATAAAATGCAATTTGACGTTCAATTTCTTCTAGAAAAAATAAATAAACTTAACATTTAATACAACTAAAATATATTCATCACCATTTTACCTTGTTCGAGGCGTGGAACAAGTTTATACGCTATAGATTGTAATGTTCGATCGAATACAATTACTCTCCATGGATTCACATGATCAATTACCGTTCCACATCTTGGACAGGTAGTATTGTCTTCTTCGTCATTGTCGAGATAAGATGCAATGCATGTTTTGCAAAATGTATGTAAACATTCTGGAATAGTAGCAGCATCGATCAAATAACCGTTACATAACATACATGATACATAAACATTGATATCTTTATAACGAAGTTTTTTTTCTCGCATCTGAAAACTTCAAGAAAATATAGTATATAAAATAACTAAAAAGTAATCGATACCTTTAGCTGAAAATCATTTCATTCACTTATCAGAAACGTTCTTCTTTAATTTTAGCCAAAAAAATAATTTTATATGATGGAAACAATTTTCTCACAAATACTCGAGCAAAATCACTCTCATTCTCAAAATATATGACATTTTCACAAAAATTGTAAAACATGTAAAGTGACAACATAAAAAATGTTTTATTTGATAACTATCCTGACAACAACGTAAAACAACGCTAATAACAATAATTTAACAAAGAAACAAAAGTAATGAAGCGGGATAAAATGAACATTTGAGAGAGAGTAGGAATTAGTTTTTATTCTTCATAATGATTAAAACTTTTCTTCATTTATTTTGTATATTTTCCCCAAATATGAAGCATAAAAACACTTGCTATGAATATTAAACTCATAACCAACACTGGAACAGGACCAACTTTAAGTCCTATACAACAACAATTAAGTGTGAGTAATACGTAGATTCGTATTTTGGAGATTACAAACCAGGTGAATCTTCAGTATAAAATCGCCATACACCAGCTCCGCTGTTTCCAGCACCTGGACGACTTCTTGTACTAACTGTCGTTGTTTTTCGTTGACGAACTCCAGGACCACCAGATGCACGAGGACCAGCTGATTTCGAACCAGAATCACCTTTACCCACCTATAAAGAACGAAAATATTTATTAATTCAACGTCTGATGAAACCATTCATAATTACGGTTGTTGAACTTGACGGAGCAGGCATATTTAATTCAGTTTACAAAACTTGAAAACAAAGCGATACAAGACAATCAAACTTGGCAAATGATGTCTATAAAGCCAAGTAGATCTGAAATTCAGCAGATGACCTTCAAGATAAATATCTGTGCGCACTTATTACATATGAAAAGTCAGTCCACATACACAAACTAGAACTTAAGGAACCGCAGTTCCCTTGACTTTATATAGTCTCGGATCATACAAAACAATTATGTGTACGCAAAATATGGAATGGTTGACAGATATTCCATGGACAAGCCAATCATGAGCGAAAGATAAGCATTAATGCATCTATGCGGAAAATGTATAAAAAGACAACTAAGACAAAGTCAGATATCATGCTTAAATATGTGGAATATATGAAAATCAAATAGAATAATAATAAAAGGTAAATTTATTAGAGGACGCCACTTTACAGTGTAACGTAAACTCGAAACGAAAAGTTTCTTAGAAACAAGACGTTTTGCTTTGAAAATTGTTCGAGTCAAGTAATGATGAAACTGCACTGAAATAGGTAATGAACTATCGAGCATCTACAGGGACCAGTCGATAATGCTCATGAAAATCAGCTTGAGAGTGTGTAGGATCCTTTTTGTATAGAATCAGATTATCGCAAGTTCTGATACCGATCGCGGTTAGACTATAAGAATACCACAATATGTAATTAGCGAGTGTAGTTGTCGGCGAGTGTTAACAGCTCTTAATTTTTTCTAAAGAGAATTTCATTTAAAATCAAACAAAAACAAATTTACAGAAAAACTATATACATAAAAGTATATTTCTTCTTCTTATTATCGTTTAATCTATTGCATCGCAGGTCCCGGCAATTTTGCATCAAGTTGGGCTCCACTAGCAGAATAACCTACAAATGGAAGAAAGAAAATTAAGAATGTAAAAGAATCAAATCTTCGTTTTCTTACCTGTACCACCTTGTAATAAGATAATATCTCTTTCTGTCAAACGAGACCCATTTATTGGATCAAGCATATCTTTTTTGATTAGTTTATTAATACAGTCCATTGTAACTACGCTGCCCGATGTTCGTAGAACAGCACATGGTACCGAATTACCTAACACATCTCCAGTTACTGCACAAACATACCGATCTCGGTAGGCAACCAATGATTTTTTACTTGGATCAACGTCGTTGGCCAATTTTAGTTTGACTGGTATTAAATCTTTCATTGCAATGGGTTTACCGGACATTGGACAGTATACTTTATTATCGGGTTTTTTTAATTGTTCCGTTTTCGCTGCTGGTGTCAGTGATGGTACCCAATAACTTGGTAACTGTCTGGCTTGATTTCCTTCCATATTACTCAGTGTTTTACTTGATGTTGAACTTCTACTGGATGACGTTGGTGCTGACATGACGGATGATGGAGTAGATGTTGATGATGATACTTTTTGTTCCATTAATGCTTTAATTGATTGATTTACAGAGTATGTCGATTCTCTTTCCAAAAATTTATTTAATTTTATCTGGTAAAGATCGGCATTTTGTTCATCAATATCTTGTTGTTGCTTATCTAATTGTTTTTGATATTCTTTTAATTTTCGAGCATTCAACGTTTTCTGATGAACAATATACTCTAATATTGCTTCTTTATCATATAAATAACCATCTTGTGTGATAACAGGATCTCGACATGGTTGCAATGTTAAATTACAACAATCAAATTCTTTAATGGCGTCTTTACTTAAACGCAATTGTAATGTACCATAACCACTAAACGAAGAATCTTTCTTCTTCTCATGATACGTATACACAGTGTTAGCAGTGGCATTTTTCGAATGACGAGTCATTTTCTACAATATAAATAATGAATGCATAATTTATTTCCTCAACTACGACGAGATACACTCATAAAAAAATCTCAACATTCTCATATTGATAAGTATCACGAGCTCGATATACTGCAGAATGCATTAAAGAAATGTTAAATCTGATAGCTATGGCTCAAAAAGATGATACGTCCTGATATCACACGAAAACATAACGAATAAAATGAGTATTCATCACGAGCAAACGTAATTTTTTTCCTCCTTCTAAGCGTTTCCATCATCGGTACCAGTGCAAACAAATAAAGCTATCCATGTTTATCTTTCAGATATATTGTTTTTTAATTTAAAATATTTGGCTAATTACAACAGAAAAAAACTATCAACGTAAAAATATACATGTAAGCAGGTAACAAAAATATTTACTCTAGTTCTTTCAAAGGACTAGCTACTAAAATCCGTCCAGTCGTTGGACTAAGAGCGTTATTCGTAAAAACTCTTCCTTGTTTTTTTGTTGGTGATGCCGGTATAGTACTATTATTAGTATGTTTGTACGTTGAACTTGATAGTATATCAAGCGGGACTTTTGTCCCATTATTTGATACTGACTTTTGCTGTTGCATACTATGAATCAAATTAATCAATTCACTTGATGCATCTGATTTTCGTGGTGATTTTTTTGGCTTTGATACACGTTTTGCTTTTGCCACTACGGGTTGTTGAGCAATGGGTAATGGTTGTGTTTGATTTAGTTGCGATGTTGTAGTCAATGGTGTTAATTTGCGTTTTGATTTCGTTAAGCGTTTTTCGACTACTGGATTCCAATCGCCATCATCAGTATCGTTTGTAGTGATCGGTTTATGGAAGGTAGAAGTAGTTCCGTTCAATGTAGATTTATTTAACGGTGGACGTCCACGTGATCGTTTTAACATTGTTTCTGAAGAGATCATTTTTGTTGATTCAGTTTCAATTACTTCAGCATCTTCATGCCGTTGTTGTTCATCATCAGCGTCAAGTAAATTGATTAAATTATATTTTCGTTTTCTTGATGCTGCTGCTGTCGTAGTTTGTAATAATTTTGTTGAATTTGTAGATGGAAAATAGGGGGGTATTGTCGAAGAATTAAGAAATAAACTATTTGGATCTTGATCAGGCGCTATAGCCAACGTAATATTGCTATTATTTAATTTATCTTTTGAATCACCCACGTATAGAAAGAAATCATCTTAAAAAAAATAAACTCTGTTTTACATAAGCTCTATTCTTTGATATTTTTAAATGTTGGACCATAACTATTAAGTCATATCTATACAAACGTACCATTTTCCTCTTCGAAAGCAAATGAACCAGAATCGTTTCTCGTTTCACGGTCTGAATCTTTTCTAGCATCAAATAGGTCACCTGTATAGGAAAGAAAATAATAAATATTTTTTACTAATCCCATTTCTTTCGCATACTTTCTGTAAATCGAACGGATTGTGTGTTGACTTCTTGTTCTCTGTTTGGATGATTATTATTGTTTCGATCTTGGGAAACGCAATGACTAGCACTATTTGGAAATTTCGATGATATCATAATGAAATGTAAGATTTCTTCCTGTTGATGAAAAATAAGAGAAACGATAGCAAGTGTGAGAAATGTCGAAGATGGAGGAAAACAAACCATGATTAATTTGTCAATAACTTGTTGTGTTAAACGTAGACGATATTTTCCATTTTCAGACATTAATAATTTTTCATTACATTCATTTACAAGTACGAAACCATTTCGAACTTGTAAACGGGTACGATATTGTTCAAGAGATTCACATTTTGAATATTGACCATTCACAAAAAGAATCGAAGATTTAATGGTCAATAAATCGTTCTAAACGAATAATACTTTGTTCACCATTTTTTTCTGAATAAGATTGGTTGAAATAGTGAAAATAGAATCTACTCCATAACATCACTTCCACTGGTAACATCTACATTTCCATCAATCAAAAACCTTCTTTTTCCCTTCTTACTTTTGTTTGTTCGGAGATACTCATAAATGGTAATGATAAACAAATAACAGTTGAAATTGCACAATTTAATGCCGCTTTTAACGATAAAACAGCGGCAACATTCCAGCCTATAAATATGATACTATGACTGGGATAAAGTTGTTGTACCTTTATAAAAAGAATATCAAAAGTAGTTCTCTAATTAACAATACTTTTGTCCTTTACCTCAGAAAACTTTTTCACAAGATCTATGTACGTTGTTTGAATGATTTGTTCATATTTTTCAGGTGATTCATTTTGTCTTTTCATATTGATAAATGGAAGTAAGATGGTTTTTGACACTTGAGATAGATTTTTTTGCCAAAAATGAATTCGTTTCATGTGGCCTGGGTAATTAAGACCAGGTGACAGAATACAAACAATAGGCAATGTTAAAGAAGGCTACAAAAAGAAAAATAGATAACATAGATCATATAATTCACTTTATTCTTTCAAACGTTTCTCACCAATTTCAGACTATAGGCAAAATTTTCTGTCAGATCGCGAGGTTTCTGTATTATTTGATTGTAAACATAGGTGTACAAGCTTGTTGGCGACCATGTTTCTTTTCGGGTGAAGTATGAACGAATAAACGTTTGCTAAAAAGCATAGAGTAGTTTAAATAAACTATCATTTTTCAACAGATGTGAAAGGTTTGCTTCGACCACTTCAATCATGATAATCTATTTGCCTACTAACCTCAGAATATAAAATTTGAAATAAATCGGCATATACTGGAATCAATGTTCGATCAAATTTGTCACAAATATATTCATGAAGCCAATGAATCAATCTTTCATTCTAAATCATGAGATAACAAGTTATCTCTGGTTTACTGTCAAAGTATTGTGTTCATTACTCACTTTTGGACATTTGACAATAGCTGATACTAGTTTTGATGCTAGACGATGAGTAGTCAAACGCCAATAAACAGCTTCATACAAATTCTAAAAAGAATACTTTTCATACACTTCAGAACTTTATTTTTCTATTGGATGAATACCGCTTCACAACATAATCGAGCAATTTTTGCTTCATTTAGTATATCATAAATATCTTTGATTAATGCTGATTGATCTTTGCTTAAATTTAACCTAGAACAAAAATAGAGATATTCAAGAAATGATTCTTTTCCTTCTTATTGCAAAGTCTTCCGTATAGAAAAAAATGTATTAGGACGGTATTTGCACAGGACGGTATTTTATGAAGAACAAAGGATATATGTCTGTATATGTAGAAGAAAAATTGACTACACACGGAGTGATATTTTCATTTGCCACATCGCCCTCATCACTTGAATTTGGTACGGTTCGACATCGAATCGTTTCCGGGATTGTTATGTTAACTGAAGGAGGCCAATTGATTTTATCTTCTAAGCCAGTATCTTCAATTTCAATGTACATCTGTTCACATTCGCTGGTCGTTGAAAATCTATAAAAACGATTTTTATTCATACAAAAATATTTGTCTATTCTATTTAAGTTTACTCACGTTTTCGTATTTTCATCACCAATATTCTCAAATAAAGTTACACGAGGTAACGCATTCGATAATTGTGGATCGTCTAGCCAAGATCGTGAATAACTGTGTTCTGGTCGAATGTCTTTAACAATAAAAGAGAATTGTAAGCCAAACAAGGATATTCAATACTGTTAATTTTCAACTTTTTTCTACTAATTGTGTAACGAAATACTGTTTCACTGCCAGATTTTACTTTAACAAACTTGTGACAGACATCTGCGCTTAGGTTATTTAAAACGAACTCCATTTCTTACCATTATTTGGCTGTAACTGACAAAATGGAGATTGTGCTAAACATAAGTCATATAAATTATTGGAAGAGGACGACATAAGATGTCTAAAAGGCATATCTTTACTGTAATCAATCTACAATAATAAATAAGTTTGTATAAAGAAATTATGCATGTATATCCATTTTTTTCATCCGCTGTTTTCATTACCCAGTTTTCTACGTAATAGGTTTCACATACTAACTGAGCCCATTGGATTTCTTTTCCTCTAACTATATTCATCCGATAGCCATCAGAGATGTTATCTTTAGCATTCTTTGAAGTAGGGACGCAACACAAAAAAATATTAATAATTAAACTGCAACCGTCAAGCAGCTGGAGACTTGTACAGTTTAATTATCCAGTCTATAGTCTCACACTGCAACACAACGTGAGAGTGATAATACAGCACAAGTACCAGTAGAAAAACGAGTACTGAGTGAGCTCTCTATTTTACAGGTAGACCGAAACCGATGCCTCATCTATTCTAACCCTTTTCATTTGTTCGTTCTATTCATCCCTTTTCAGGCTGTTACACTTAATATCGTGAAACATAAAGGCTGAGATAATCTAGCACTAGTTTCTCGGTCAAGAAACAATAATAGCAGATGTTAGACGCATGACGATAGAATAACGAAATCTTTTGATTTTTTCATAGTATAATATAACGACTTTATCTCTAGCGTTTGCTGTTTGCAACAAAACTGCAGGCATTACTTCCATTTAAATTTCGTAAAACTAAGCCTCCATTTATTCCATTTGGCACATAATTTTGGAAAGTTCAAAAGATTATAACTCAGAAAGAGGAAAAAATCAATTTTGATCAATCTGCAGTTCTATAATATCATTTGTCTGCTAAACAGGGAAAGCTTTATTGGTATCTTATATAAAACACAAAACCAGAGGACGCAATGAAAAGGCATCTTATAATACTGTATTCAGTTTAATAAAAGAAAAAAATTCATGTTTACTTTTGATTGGTTATGTTTTCTCTCCGAGGTTAATCTACCAGTAAAGATCAACTTTCATTATTGGAGGATACAGCAATAGAAAACTATTCTATATTTCTCTTTGTATCTCTATAATCACTGAGAATCTGCTTTAATATAAATGAAAAATGGTGTAGAATAATTTGTTGAGCTAAATCGCCTTCTTCTATACAGTATCCCATTCTAATACAATACACTTTTTGTAAATTACCGGGTGACGAAAGGTCATCAAAGGTTTAGCATCAGTAAAATGATGGATGCCGTTAAGAACAGACATACTTAAATAGTAGATATAAATAAAATAAACAATCCGACATGTCTGAGTGTCGGGAGTTGTAGAAGTTGAGATATAAAGAAAGGACTTAAATTTTTGCTATGATTTTTTGTCACATCTTGTCTATAGTTTTCATGCTTATTCAGGCTGATTGAATAATAGAATATGAGGAAACAGTAACACTGCACCACAATACAATATACTTTCGCGGAAAAAATCTAAACCAACTTCCCAAACGTATCTAATAACATTTTTACCAAGAAACAAAAATATGTTCATATTTTAGTAGGTTTATAATATGGCATTAAATCGGCTTTCGATCGACTCAAACATTAGATACAGTTTTTTCTTATTCAGAAATAAAATATATTTCTTATTAGTGTCCTTAGTTTCGACACAAGTAGACTTTAAATTTATGGACATAGGAGACAGATTATTATCTTGCATATTTTCGACTACGCTTAAATTACTGCACAATCCAAAAGAAAAAAAGAACGATGTCGACTAGATATACCTTTTACAGCTATTCTTTCGAAAAACTTCTAAGTTGTCTTAAAAATGATTTAATGTAAGATTTTTGTTCTAGATACTTTAACGTAAAATGGATAACGACGCATACTTCTATGCAAATCAACCTCTGGTGATTGACAATGGCTCGGGAATGTGTAAAGCGGGTTTTGCCGGTGATCCAATACCAAAAATCTATTTTCCAAATTGGTAAGATTTTTCTAAGACTTGAACTAATTTGTTAAGATGGCAATTGTCATTTATTCTTCATAGCGTTGGAAGACCTAAACATGTTCGTGCAATGGCTGGTGGACTGGAAGGAGATTGTTTTATCGGACCAAAAGTCGAGGTATCCATATAATTTCTTCCACCTTCAATTATATTTGTAAGCTTTCGATTGCTTATAATCTGTTGATCTATTAAGGACTACCGTGGACTATTGCAAATCTCATATCCAATTGAACATGGAATCGTTCGAGATTGGAATGACATGGAACGAATTTGGGCGTATCTCTACTCGAAAGATCAATTAAACTCAGCTTCAGACGAAGTAAGAGTAAAATGAAGTCTGCATTGGCTACCGGTTTTGTCTTTTTTTGTGTAGTTTATCACTTATCTTTTACATATTTTCTTATTTTAGCATCCTGTTTTATTAACTGAACCACCGCTAAATCCGCATAGAAACCGTGAACGAGCTGCTGAAATATTTTTTGAAACATTCAATGTACCCGCACTGTTTGTGTCGATGCAAGCAATTTTGAGTTTGTATGTTTGTCTTTTCCTCATTGTTTATTAATTATATTATTTTATTTCCTTTATATTAGATACGCTAGTGGACGAACCACCGGTGTGGTTCTTGACTCTGGAGATGGTGTTACACATGCTGTGCCAATTTACGAGGGTATGTAGAAACCTGTTTCTCCGACAAGCTTAATCAATTTAATAGAACTTTTTGAATATTCTTTTTCAGGCTTTGCTATGCCTCATAGCATATTACGTAATGATGTTGCTGGTCGAGAGGTTACACGTTATTTCAAACTTTTGTTAAGAAAAGAAGGCCATACATTTAAAACAACAGCTGAATTTGAAATTGTTAAAAATATGAAAGAGGTATGTTTTATTCCTCATATTTAGCACATTCTTAAAATGAGAGGATTTTTAGAGAGCCTGTTTACTGTCACCCAGTGCTCAAAAGGACGATACAGCACAAGCAGATAAATCGCAATTTATTTTGCCAGATGGAACATCAATTGAGGTTTGTTAAATTCATCACCCTAGGAAGAAATTTTACAATAAATTTCTTGTTTTTGCAGCTCGGTTCTAGTCGGTATCGTGCCCCAGAAGTGTTGTTCAGTCCAGAATTGATTGGTGAAGAATGTGAAGGAGTTCACGAAATATTATCAGGATCTATTCAACGTTCAGATATGGATTTACGACGTATACTCTATCAAAATATTGTGCTTTCTGGTGGTTCAACATTATTTCGAGGTATATATTTTTGAAACGTCTGATATGTATTGTATTGTATTCTATTATTTTCAAAGGCTTTGGTGATCGATTACTGTGTGAACTGAGACGTATTGCACCAAAAGAAATTAAAATAAAAATTTCGGCCCCACGTGAAAGATTATGTTCAACGTGGATTGGGTATGTAACTAAAACAGATTTAAAAGATAAAATAAATTACAATGGTTCTTTACATTTATTTTCAGAGGATCTATACTAGCATCGCTGGATACATTTAAAAAAATTTGCATAAAAAAACGAGAATACGATAACGAAGGCGCAAGAGTGATTTATCGAAAAACATTTTAACCATTCTATGATAATTTAGAGTTGATTTTGGTATTCTCTTTGTGTCGTTTGGAATAAGAGATAGAACATTCTAACAACAGAATAAGACAAAAGGACCAAATCAGTTGTCTCAGATTTTCTTGTACTCTAGTCGTTCTAATGGGAAGAATTTATTACTGTTGCATTCTTCACAATGAAAAAAAGAAATCTCATTTCCATGGAATAATTTTCATGTAACTTTTTTGCTTGTTTTTTTTTATGTGAGTATGACTACTTTAGGTTTATTGATTGTTATCTTTTTTCTTTTCTCTTCATTTTTATTCTCGGGACTGGCTCTTTTTTTTGTCAGACGCTCTTTCAAGATTTCGAACAAGAAAACTTCGATCTTTTTTCTCGGCTATAGTTATAATTTATTTTTATTTGTTGATCAAATTCTATTTTCATACGTGCAATGCAAGATAACAATCGTTTGTTCTGCTCAAATCGGTAATTCTTCTACTTTTTTTACGATTAAGAGTAATTTTTATCCAGATAAAAATCGACAGGTGATCAGTTCTCATTTTAGTCACTTTATATATGTGTAATATGTAATGGTAGCAAAGAAAATTTGTTATATTTTATAAATTTTTGCTTGTTATTTTCTATACAGTTTTTTCGAGTTGGTTCTCTAGTTTTTTATTTTTATTGTTTTTGTTATGTATTTTTAGTTTTGGTTTTGTTATAAAATTATATTTTTAAAAAAAAAGTTAAAACAAAACGACTATGAGCTAATTAACTCTCTTGAAAAACTTTATTTCTTACCTAGCTTCACTGGACAAAATTTGGATCGTTACTAGAGTGATAAAGAAATTCAAATGTGCTCCTCAGATCGATACTTTTAGTGTTTGTAGGCGTACTCGTTTTTGCTATAAATGGATATTTTCATGTGAGTTTATTGTGTAATCGTGGATTCATTTTCTGATGTTTTCTGAGTATTGTCGAATAGTTATAGATAAAAAATGATTGACTAAATAAATGTTGTCTGGCGATTCAAACAATGGTGAATGCAAAAATGACCCAACGCCGTCGACAGTTTGAAAATAAACGGTCTTCAAGTCATCAAGAGAATACAGCAAATGGTGAAAAAATTGCAGCAGCCGTTGCTCGAAGTACACGTCGACGTACAACACCACATTCAGGGCATAGATCACGTTTCGATTATTTACTAAAATTTTTTACAAAAAACAAATTATTAGTTTCTATTTCATCTTACATTCCAATTATTTTTATATTTTTAATTTGTTTATTGGTGGTTTATTTTGTTGTTATTTTATTTATTAATAGTCAAAAATATGAGTACACAAACGTTCCATTAAAATTACCAAAATTAGTTAATATCAATGATACAGCTCCGGAAAATAATCCGGAGCGATTTTGGGGAACATACAGGTTTGTTGAATCAAACTAAAATCTAATTCTAGTTTATTAATAGTAACTTTTGTTCTAGATCGAATTTGTACTTTGGTATTAAACATCGTAGTTCTCAAAGTTTAGGTGGTGGTCTCATGTGGTTTGATTATGAAAAAATTCAACAATCAAATGATCAGTTTTTGAGGTAGATAAATGTTTAACTAAATACAGTGGCGTAAACGGGGATCAGACATTAGAGTGTGTGTAAAATTGAATGTATCTCCAAAGTAGTGCAAATAAAATAAATTGAATAAAAATAGTTCATGGAATAGAATCTGTGAGAAGATACGGTGAATAAGCTAATGTTTTAATAATCTTTTGCTAAAAAAACAACAAAATTTTCAATTATTCGAGGTGTGCGCAATCTCTCGGCTTTTTGCAACTCTGTCCAACTAACATTATTTTCAACTACGATATGTTTTAAGACATTGGTGCGATCATAATGATCGTCTTCCATCCTACGGCTGGACTTATCATGATGGCGAAATGTTTGGTATTGAACAGATTCAGGATGATAATTTACATTTACAAGTAGAATGGGTAAAACGTTTGGGTGGTCAACATGGGGGTGATTGGACAACTCGAATAAATGTAACACCGCAGGTATTTAGTTTTATACATCGTTATTTAATCTAACGGAAATTTTGTTGCACATACCTTGATCTATGGTGTCACTTATTTTTAGTTAAACAAAACAAAACCGGTGTCGTTATTTTTCTATTTTCATCATGACCTACCATGGATGGATGAAATTATTACATCAAAAAAGTCTGACAATGAACAATATCGTTTGACAACTGTACGTGGTCAAACAAACGAACTTGATGCATTCACAATTAAATTTAAAATTCCTTCTGGAGCACACTCTCAAATTCCAATAATACGTTCGTTAACCGAGCGTTTACCCCTTCATAATGTACATCAAACAATTTTACGAAGACTAGTACCCTATGATACTGCATCTGCATCTAACTCAAGAAAACAACAACAACAACAAGATCGTTATTTTGTTTTACAAGACCAAGAAATTAAATATTATGAGCATAATTTTTTTATTTTACAATTAACATTGCCACAGCCGGTTGTACAACCATTTACATTTGATATTATTTATGAATCAGATTCAGTAAATCGTCAAAATGAATTAAGTGGAGTACATTTCAATGAGCTAATAACACAACTTCAAAAACAATTTGATGAACGTTTTGAATCGATATTTCAATTGAAGACAAAACAAAATATGGAAATAAAAAAAATTAATTTTGCACGATCGACATTGAGTAATCTACTAGGTGGTATCGCTTATTTTACGGGTAAGAAAGATTTCGGCATGTTTCTTTAGTTAACCAAAGATGAGAACAAAGGATGTAGCGGTTACAAAAAAACTAGAAAACAATGAAACATTGATATTTTTATATCAATGTTAGATGTCTAGCTATCAAAATAGAGTAAAAATACAAAAATTTTTGTTTCATAGGTCAATCACTCGTTGCACATCCAAACCAAAAGACTCCTGATGATTATTGGCTCACCAATTTATATACTGCCGTACCATCACGTTCATTTTTTCCACGTGGTTTTTTATGGGATGAAGGTTTTCATAATCTATTGATTGCACGATGGAATAAAAATATTACTTATGATATTCTATCTCATTGGCTTGATTTGTTGAATGATAATGGATGGATACCTCGAGTAGGTTAAAATATGTGCAATTTAACAGATAAATATTGTTTTCGTTTTCTTTCATAGGAAATGATATTGGGTCTTGAAGCTCGTGCACGTGTTCCTCAAGAATTTATAATTCAATATTCGACAAATGCAAATCCACCGACATTTTTTCTTACAGTTGATTCTTTGTTAAAAACAAATCTCAATTTCAATAATAACAATGATGCAAATAAACTTCAAACATTCATTAAACGTTTAGAAACATGGTATAAGTGGTATAATCGTACACAAATCGGTCAATCACCATTTACTTATCGATGGCGTGGACGCAATTCATCATCTATATACGAATTAAATCCAAAAACTTTAACCAGCGGTCTCGATGATTATCCACGTTCATCGCATCCAACAGATGATGAAAGACATTTAGATTTACGATGTTGGATGATGTTGGCATCAAATGTTATTGGAAAATTATATCAAAAATTAAATGGTAAAAATAATGAAAATAATGTTTATATCGATTATGCACACTTATTAGCCGATAATGAACGTCTCAATCATCAACATTGGTCTGAAACAGATGGAATGTATGCCGATTATGGTTTACATACAGATCATGTTCATTTACAACGAGTAAATATTCCAAGTAAACAACAACAACAACAACAACAACAGCAACAAACACACATGATTAGACAAGTAACAAATCAATCCGATTTAACTTATAAATTCGTGAAACATTTTGGTTACGTATCTTTATTTCCATTAATGACAAAAATTTTAAAACCAAACTCATTGAAATTAGACAAATTATTAACAGATTTAACGAATCCAACGTTATTATGGACATCATTTGGGTAAGTGTCCAACGTTTCTGTTCCAAATTTATTATCAGAAAAATCTTGTATCTGAAGTACTTTTTCACACGCTGTGATATATTCTTATTTGTCATGATAAATATAGTTTAGCAACTTGAATCTGGACAAACATCATATACTGCACTATTACTACAAAGTTGTACGTTTATATATTTTCTTCATCCGGTTATTTTCTTTTAAGTTTAAGATCATTATCCCAAACAAGTGCGTTATATAATACAAGAAATACTGAACACGATCCACCATATTGGCGAGGCGCAATATGGATTAATATGAATTATATGGTATTAAACGCATTGAATTATTATTCTAAAACACCTGGACCTTATCAAGAGAAAGCTAAAACTGTTTATCAACAATTAAGAACAAATTTACTCAACAATATGTATCGAGTTTACGAGAAAACTGGTTTTGTATGGGAACAATATAACGATAAAACTGGTAATGGTCAGGGTACTCATCCGTTTACCGGCTGGTCATCATTAATCGTATTGATAATGGCTGAATTATATGATGGTTAAATTATTTTATTGACATTTTAGTGTTGATTACGCTGTTTTTGGTACCGTAGTTTTTGTATTCAGTATGTTAGGTATCCATTATACACAATACTGTGGATGATTAAGACAAATATTTTTAGATGTTTTAAAGCTTAGACTTCTATCTTAACGTGATTATATTATTTTTCTCACCTCAAAGTCACTTTATTCTCTGAAACTAGCTAGTCTTTAGGTCTCATAGATAATATGTTAACTTGCATTTTTATTAGAGAGAAAAATATTCAGTTAATAGACAGATTAAAAGGATACTAAATTTAGTCGAAGTGAGCATAAACTGAGTGAGTAATACTACTCACATAAATACTACTCCTAGTAGATACAATTATCATCCAACACTTATTGTGCCAAATATCTTTGATGGTTTGTTTTTTCTTAAATTTTATATTCTCGTTTAAAAACATCTCTTGTAAAACTCTTAGACTTGATTAGTAGGTTATTGAGCATTTCGGTCATATTTTATGAATGGCTTTATTTGTCACGGCTCAAATCTTTTTGTTGTTATGTCAAATGTGATACTGTTTTGCTTGTTGCTGGTTTTTTTGGTTGTGCACGACTGCATTGTTAGTTTTGTTTTGCAATATTTTTATACTTGTTTTCTGTTTTTTTTGTTGGAGTATGTTGTTGTAGGTTTTTTGTGAAAAAAATTCATCATCCGATGAAATATCAAACAATGTGTTCATCTTTCTGTCGTTGATCTGACATCGATCCTACTGGGGAAATGTTTTAGGTTTATAATAGAGATTGGAATGAGAATTCCCAAGTAAGAAGCTGCGTCAAGCAGCTAAAATCAAACTCAAATACACTGCACTTGGAGGGAGTCTTATCAATCTCTCTCATTTGCCTTTCTGTCAAAGAGCACTATCAGATTTGTTATACACAAACTAACTCGAGAAAAAAGCTCTCAGAATGAAAGAAGTCGTACATACTTTAACAATAAAAAAGCGATAATCATTTTAGTCTAAAACAAAAAAAACAAATACCTTATACTTCTCTTTTTCATATATTTAAGATGGCTAAAGAAAATATTTGTACAAAAACATGTGAGATGCAGTGCTTGAAGTCCTGTTGCGATGTATGGTTGGAGAGAAATCCTATAAGATAAATTCTGGTATGTTTAGTCTGCTTCGTTAATCGATTTAAAAATTTACTATTTTTTTCTCAAATCCATTAATTCATTGATTCATAATTGTTCATAAACTATTAGTTTATTGCACGAAACACGACATGGCTTAGTGGTTATGGTGTTGGTCACGTGCATCAAACGTATTGTGTTCGAACCTCGGGGTCACCAGGTCATGTAATAGCCTCGGAAAAGTTACTTATGTCTTAGTGTCGCGGATCACTCGTCCGATAGCATAATCACTATGTTGTGACGTATAATACAGCTCGATGACTAGTTTGTGTAGCTCTCTAGTACATGGTTAGTGATCGTATATGAGGAGCTTAAGTAATTGGGCAAAAGAACTCTGCATCATGTTAGCCTTCTGGCCAGAGCTACGGCTGATGACTGGTAACGATATGGATGACCATATCAGAAGCTAACTGCCATGAGGCAGCATCCTACACTGATAATGGTAGCTGCAAGGCGGAATATTCTTCTTATTGCACGATTGTATCAGATAGGATCCTGTCGCTATAATAGCATATCGCTCCTCTGTCGTTCTTCGCACAAATCTTAGTGAAACTGATTATTATTTTTAATTTTATCGATATCTATTTACTGAAGTCTAACTTAATTATTATTGTTGGTATTGCTATTATTGTACAATATAATATTGTATGTAGTTTTTGTTATTAAAATATAATGTTTATCTATTCTTCTATTCCAGTTTTTCATGGATATTTTCATATTATGTTTCCCTTTAAAAAAAACTGCATTTTTCTTTAGAATGATGCGGGCTTAACATTGTTTTTCTATATAGCATTAAATATGTTTCTACTTTGCCAATATTTAAATAGGAACAATAAATTATTTATATTTTAAAAAAAAATCATCATGTCATTGATCTTCTTACCATGAAGACGGGCTGTCACTACATAATCGACTAACTAAATAAGTACTTCTTCTTTTCTTATCCTCTTCGTCTTGCATAGATAAATTAAAAGATTTCTATTTTATTTGTCTGCAAGAAAAACAGGAAGAAAATTAGATAGATATGCCTATTTACAGCTTTAACTTCGTTTTTACTTAACGTAACATCTCGTATATGGTAATGTACTTGATAATAACCAAATAAAAGTAGGTCAATAATTTTTTTTATTTTAATTTTTTAATAAACTATTAATTATGTTGAACGAAGTGAAGGATATCACAGCTACGCTTGTATCATAATTTTGTGTTCAATGACATATTTGTTGGATTTAGATGATAAGACAGATATTACTTAGACATGTTCGGAGAAAATATATTTTATTTAGTTGGTATTAAATAAAAATGACCAATCGAAATTATTTTTAACGATCTTATAATGTGTGCTAATTTAAACATTGATTCAAATAATTACGATGTTTTCGTTAAAAGGAAAATTGTTTTATTAATAACTTAGGTGGATTTCAAAATAGTTCAATAGTAGAAGAAAGAAAAATAATTTGTCTATCCATAATATTAATTATAAACTCATTTTACAATGTTATTAGATAGTTTAAATCATTGTTAGGTGATGAACCATCTATTGTGGATGATTTTTATTCAAAAATGGATTCTATATCTTACAAAGTAGAAAAAGCATTTACATTCACCCCATACTTATATTTAAATTGAGATTGCAAATTTCATAAGGATTTTACTCGAATCATCGAGAGAATGAAACTAAGAAGTGAACACTAAAATATTTAGCGTAGTGGGCGAGGATCTTGCTTGGTACAAAACTATGTTTTGTACGGTGATACGGTCTTCAATTGTTCGATAGTATTAATTTCTTTTCTTTTGATATATATTATAGCCTTTTAATAATAAACATATTTCAAGTATAATTTAGCTTTTTTCCTTGCTAGAAGAAATATTTCCATTGAGTTGATCTATCTTATCTTCGAACAGCGTGGTTTGACATTTAATCATGTGCTTTAATAGTATGTTGTTCGAACCTAGGCATCGTCAAGTCGTATTATAACCTTGGACAAGTAACTCATGTCTACGTGTCTAGGATCGTCCGTCCGATAGCATACTTTCTGCTTAGTGATGTATCTTAAATAACATAGTTTCTCCAGCTTGCTAGATGACTAATGCAATATGTTAGAAGTCAAAAATTTGGACGAAAGAACTGTACATCAGACTAGTTTTCTGTCCAGAGCTAAGATTGATGATTAACAACCATCGTCGAACAATGTTGACTGCAGAAAGGAGATTGGGCTACGCGAAAATTATAATTCTCTCAGCGGCTCGAGGCCGTCCTATATCGATAGTGGTAGCCATACCTTCCATCTTCTCTTATAGTTCAAACATCATAATTCTGTCCAGATATGAGCATGTGGTATAAATCGTGTCATCTATTAATGTTATCAGGATTTATTGAGAATTTTTTTTCTGTTCTCTCTTTGCTTTTGAATATTTCTCTGAGAATATCATTTCTGGATGAAAATGTGTCACACAATCGTAACGTGAATAACGATTAAATTAGCAAGAGCCGAACGAAAGAAGCTTCAGTTTGTCGCTCATTTATTTCCCACGGACCAATACACTCGGAGCGTTAGGGCACAAATGAATCACACTTTGCCTTCCATAACTTTCTATTTTGAGCATCTTTTGTAATGTGTTATAATGAGTTAAATGCCAGTGATCTCTCTTATGTTGTCAAACCATGTTTTTCTCGGTTTGCCTACTAGTCTTTTGCCTTCATATCTGTCTGTTAAAATTTGTTCTGGCCATCTTCTGTCATTCATTCGGCTGACATGTCCAGACCATCCTGGTTGTCTTTGATTTATTACATCAACTATATCACTTCTAATGATATCCTTCGTTTTATTTCGTTATTGTTACTATGTTGTTGCCAACGAATGCCCATAAACCAACTGTCATATTTCATCTCAAAAGCTCTTAAGTTTCTAGAATCTTCAGACTTTAAATTCCATATGGCACCATATAACAATGTTGAGAAAACACGTACTTTCAAAGCTTACAGTTTGGTGTCCAATAAGATAGATTTATTTTTCCATAATGTTTTAAGTCTGCCATAAATTGCTGTTGCTAGGTTTATTCTATTTATTATTTCAAATGAACAATCATTGTTTGTAGAATAGTTTTTTCCTGTTATCGTGTAGCCATAGTTTAGCAACAATCCAATGCTTTGAAAGAACTCTATAGGGGAATACATCTACTACTGACACTATTTTACGTGTCACTTATTTGGTGGTTTTATATATTAGTTATTCATTTGATTGTTTCTTGTTTTTTCTAATGATTCAGTTTGCTTTATCAACGTCTGATCGCTATTTTCTGATTAATTTATGTTTTTTATTTTTATTTATTCCCTTCTAGCTTTCTTTTCAACATAAACTCACACCTGTTATTGGCTTTTTCATTTCATGGTAATGTGAATGTTTTATATACAGATGTGCAATGTTAAACATTTGGTCACTTCCTTTTTTCAAAGTAAGTGTTATGAACAGTGGTGATGAACGTAGTGTTTTTTCTCCTATTCTTTGACAACTTGCAATCGCTGTGAAGATTGTTTAATGTTTGCTTGGCTAAATTCGCACAGTGTTTTTTCTTAAAGATCTCTCTTCTATTTAATATAGAACGTGTTCCACTGAGGAAAAAGTGATGGTGAAAATAAAGTTCTATAGTTCTTTGTAATGAATTAAAAATAGAATGTATACACCATTGATGTTTTATTTAGCTTAGTTTTGAAGAATGGTTTTATCAACTCGTACATGTGTATTTATAACTACTGTGACTATATCATTTCTATTAATATCATTATTTATTTATACTCACAACGACTATCAACAAGAATACAAACTAATTACACAGATTCTTCTCTCAAATGGAACAAAAATATTTGTTAACAGTGATAAATCAAATGAACAATCCAAACAACAACTTGCTCAAGATTGGCATGATAAAATAAAAGATAAACTACACGATAGTACAAACTTTGGCTTTATTCATGCATTTCTAGCATCGTTATCTGTTATCATGGTAAGCGAATTAGGTGATAAAACATTCTTTATTGCTGCCATAATGGCCATGAGACATGCACGTTTAGTTATCTATAGTGGTGCCATGGGAGCTCTAGTATTCATGACCATTTTATCGGCATTATTAGGAAATATTGTGTCTAAATTTATAGCACGAATCTATACATATTACATATCAAGTATCTTATTTATGTGCTTTGGTATTAAAATGGTAAGAGATGGTTACCTAATGTCATCAGACGAAGGAACACAAGAATATGAAGAAGTACAACACGATATTGAAAAAGCAGAAGCCACCATTGATCTGGAATTAGGTGGTTTGACGTTAATAAGTAATGGAACTTCCTCACAACAACGATCAGTATCGAAACAAATACTTATAACTGCATTTATTCGGCGTTATATTTCTCCGATCTTCGTGCAAGCATTTATAATGACATTTCTAGCTGTAAGTCTACAGAATTTAGCAATTTATCACCCAAATATAGAAGTTCACTGTATTTTTGGTTTGAATTCCAATATTTATTCTTAAAATGTCTAAACTTAGAAAAAGTCACTCAGGAACCATTTTTAAGGCATCAATCTTCTTCCTGAACGAAAAACATTTTTTCTCTTGAGCAGAGACATATACATTTATTTTTCTGTTTAGGAGTGGGGTGATCGATCTCAAATAACAACAATTGTGTTAGCAACCAGTAAAAATTTATTTGGCGTTATTATCGGTGGAACTCTGGGTCACGGTCTTTGTACAGGAATTGCTGTTTTAGGAGGTCGATTTATAGCTCAACAGATATCGCCAAAAACTGTGACACTAGTCGGTGGCGTTGTTTTTCTATGTTTTGCGCTCTCGGCTATTTTTATCCGTCCCGATAAGTAATTAACTATTATTAATCTTTATCATTTTTGTTGTGGTAAATTCAACTTATGTCTACTATGCAGACAATATATGACCATATTCTAGAAACACTCTGATAAGAGCTTATTCGTATTCTCGACAGTATTGAACATTCAGTAAATTCTTACTTTTGGACTTTTATAATGTTTCCGAATGTCTGGTGAAACACGATGAGAAGTTCAAGAACTAATTTACAAACTTTGTTTTTTTTTCACGCTTTAATTAGACTATGCCAAATGTTTATTTTGTTTTCCTAAAACACGTTAATAGATAGAGAAAATTTACGTTAGTTTTACTTAAATAATTTAAGGGGTATCGAATATCATATATCAGAGAACACTTAGTGCTAATGATTCGCATTCAAAAACGCCTTTCATTCTTTCGTATATCAACGAATACTTTCAAAAAATTGAATTTTTTTGCCATGAAACTGATTATATATTTCTACCCTACTGTATACGTAGATTATTAAAATAATGAAAAAACTTCAATTTCGCGTCTTGGTATGAAGATGCATGAATTCAAAATGTTGTATACATGAAACGTTATTTCGAGAATGCTTATTGTTCTTTCATTCAAATATCACATGGCAACTTTTTTTATTATAAATTTTGTAATGTCTACATTGTTTTGCACATGTATTGTCCATTTCTTCCCAAAATACATCATCTTGTTTGCGACAAAGTCTTTTTTACTGCTATCTTTTGATTGATTTGACATTGTTCTTTTCTTTGTATTTTCGATTCGTTGAAATTCACCATCAGAAATATCGCTTTCTCGATTGTCAAATTCTTCCGTAGCATTATTTACATCATCATCATTATTTTCAAATGATCAATATCATCCAGTAATCCTGCATAATCTAATAAAATATCATCAAATTTTGTATTTTTTGTTAATTTTTCAATATAATCTTTGATATTAATACATTAGGATCGTGTTGACATACCACTACGGTATTGTTTAAAATACATTTAATTTTAAATAATATTAATATTTTATTAGATTATGCAAGACAACTGGATCACATTGATATTGATCATTTGAAAATAATAATGATGATGATGTAAATAATGCTACGGAAGAATTTGACAATCGAGAAAGCGATATTTCTGATGGTGAATTTCAACGAATCGAAAATACAAAGAAAAGAACAATGTCAAATCAATCAAAAGATAGCAGTAAAAAAGACTTTGTCGCAAACAAGATGATGTATTTTGGGAAGAAATGGACAATACATGTGCAAAACAATGTAGACATTACAAAATTTATAATAAAAAAAGTTGCCATGTGATATTTGAATGAAAGAACAATAAGCATTCTCGAAATAACGTTTCATGTATACAACATTTTGAATTCATGCATCTTCATCCCAAGACGCGAAATTGAAATTTTTTCATTATTTTAATAATCTACGTATACAATAGGATAGAAATATATAATCAGTTTCATGGCAAAAAAATTCAATTATTTTTAAAGTATTCTTCGCCGATAATATAATGATCAACTGGACTGATTTGTACAATACAAATGTCTTTCTGTTTTAGGATCGTTTACTCTGTTGTAGTCGTTCGTGCAACGATATAGCAAAAGATAGTTCACATAAAAATAGTGCTCGAATACGAAGTGGTTTTGAAAACTTTGCGGTAAATTGTACGAGTGAAATACAGCAATTGCTGCCAAAAGTTGAAACAAAGCTTAGTGATCAATTGAGAAGCTATAAAAGTTGATAAAAATGACGACTTTTCGTTAATCTGTCTGATTACCTTTTTCTTTCTACATACTTGTGCGGAACACTACACTGCTGTTTTATTTGTTAAATTAGTTATTTTTTATAGCAGATAAAATCTCAGGAGCATCTAATTGTTCAAAAGAATTGTTAAAATTTTTTTCTATTTTATCTTAATAAGAAACCAATTAAAAAAATCGGTGCTATCTAGAAGCACAGCACAAATAAAAAATGAAAATCTAGCTTTTATATTTTAGTAAAAGAATATGAATCAGACCACTTTTAAGTTTGTAGTTGAACTGTAAATAAATAAGACGAAAAGTCTGATTATATCGGAGCGTCATAATGAATGAGCCTCTCAGTATTTTCTACTTTTCTCGTGTTTCTTTAGGACACTATGGTTACTGTTTTTTTAAAAGATGTGCCGCGAAATACTCTACAGAACCCTACCTAAACTTCAATTTCAGAACTTCGATCAAGGAAACAATGCAAATTATACGAAAAGCGAAAAAAATGAAAACTTTGTAAATTTGGTATTTTTTTCGGCTGAACTCTATTATTCTTCTATTATTTCCGTAAAAAGGTGTAGAAAAAAAATAAGAAAACGCAGTTCTTTTGTACTTTTGAATGTGCTCGCTTTAGAGCAGATGGTGTGCTGGAGAGCGAAGTTTCAAAAATACATCAAAAATTGAGAATTTTCCCGTTTCCACCAGTGTACCCAAGCAAGAGATGGAAAGCATGATCGAAGTTTTGATTTTGTAGTTAAGTAGGGAAGAGCAATCATTTTTGATCAAAACAAAACAAGCCCGATCGAAAAAGCTTTTGTTTTGATGGAGTTATGCGACTTTTACTGAAAGCATCACTAAACTTAGAATTTAAAAAATTAATGAAAAAATGCGTGACAACCGACAGAAAAATTATTATTTCTCCATGGGTTTCGGTTTGAAAAAATTTAAAGTGTAGTTAAAAGCTAGAGCAAAGTCAGGGCTACCTGGGTTCGTAATCGTCCTATATTTCCTATATTTATGAAAGTGGTCCTATATTGTCCTATATTTCAGGTATTTGTCCTATATTTCCTATATTTGAGGGTAAAAGTGAGGGTTATGCTGAAATGAGTTGTATTTGATCATGAAAAGACACATGCGCTTTCCTCATACATTGCCACTCGTTTCCGTAAAGAACACGTAACTCATTGTACGTATTATTTCTTGACTGTTGTATTTGTATGACTAAAGGACTCTTTTGGGAAGAGAATGATGAGTATAGAACCGCTACAAAGTACATAATAAGATTTTAACTAAATCTTTCACATATCATCATCAGGAAAATGAACATAGGAAGAAAAGATAACTAATTATATAGTCTGTAAGCGTGAGTATAAGACAAAGAAATTAAAGAAGCAATTTTGCCAGTAGGAACAACGTGCCAGTAAAAGAATCTATTGAGATTGCACTAGATATGTTATATAAGCCAAAGAAAATAGCTGATATACCCTTCAGTCGACAACAAATGAAAAGACTGGTAGAATTAGCCGTTTGTGATGTACTATTTAGATTTATGAGTAATTATTACGTGCAATCTGATGGAGTAGCAATGGGTTTACCACTTGCACCGATACTTACAGACCTATTTATGTCAAAACTCGAAACTAAGTTAAACAGATTTTCTACCAATAAACCATTACTATGGCTTCAATACGTGGATGATATATTTCGCATATTCACAACAAAACAGAATATTAACCATTTTTTTTCCTTTGTGTGTTTTTTGTGTGAAGTAAACTTCATTGTATCTACATTTTCACCGATTTGAACACATATTCATATTCAATTCAGTCGATGATCTGCACAGAGATGACCTCAATGATACTCTAGTGTGTTTTCACCATACTAAACGGTGTTGGTTTAGTGAAAAGAGACGTCCTATATTTGCCCTATATTATTAGAGAAGTCCTATATAAATTCTTTTTTCAAATCCTATATTTTCGTATATTCTCAGGAAGGGCCGGTACGAACCCAGAGGGCTACATAATGGCTGATTCAGATTTTCTTACTTTCAAAACGTTAACACAAGAAATCGTTTTTGAGTTTACAAAGTTTTCATTTGTTTTCGCCTTTCGTATAATTTGCGTAGTTTTCTTGATTGAAGTTGTGAAATTGAAGTTTAGGTAGGGTTCTGTAGAGTATTTCGCGGTACATCTTTTAAAAAAACAGTAACCATAGTGTCCAAAAGAAACACGAGAAAAATAGAAAATACTGAGAGGCTCATTCATTATGACGCATCCAATATAATTTAATTAACTAAGAAGCGGTCTAGTTTAATTCCGATTCTACGTACTTGTTAAGACTAGGTTACCCTTTATAATTTTTCCTTTCAGGTGCACGACGCGTAAATCTATGAAAGTGATATCGTTATCATATATAAAAAGAAGATATTGTTTTGCTTATAACAAGATTTTCAAACAGATTTTCTGATAGGTCACGTAACAATCATTCGGTGAATCACTTTGGAAATTTTTGAACGTTGTGATTTCCATCAGTGGAAGAATTAACTTTCTAACAGATATTTTGTTTAACGTTACCAACATCAACAAATTATGATTTACACTCAACAGATGTTCGTCAATTTATTTTAATTATAACAAGATTTTTTATCATAGGGTAAGTTCTAGCATTTGGTTCACAAACGATTAGCTTTGCAGGAAAAATGGTAGAGTAAGCCACTCAGCATAGAAGATTATTTTGTCATTTTTTCTATATTTGAATCCAACCCTAGTGAAACTTTTTGTACCCAAGATCTTGAAAAAATACCAAGAAGTAAAGATCTTGGATTCTTAAATCTTTCACTCAAGATCTTGGAAACAGAAATTTCAAGATATCGAGTGTATCCACTCAAGATGTTACAGGATAATACGATTGAATCTTATGCCCAAGATCTTGGAAATTCTTAACTCATCATTTTGTTTTACACTCTTGTGTAAATTATTACACTTACGTAGAAAATTTTCTTTACATTTTGTTTTCATTTATGACAGTCATAGCCATCAGATATACGACCATATAAAACCATAGGTTCTTAAACAACTATGTTCAAGAAGGAAAAATATCCGCACTTATATTTACACAAAAGTGTGAAACAAAACGATGAGTCAAGACCCTCCAAGATCTTGGTACAAGCAGGGGCGCCCCGATAAGGGGGGAAGAGAAGGGATCCCTGCTGAGGAGGGCCCCTGCTTTTTGAAAAAATTTACTCC